CCCAACATTCTTTGGATCTGTGACCTGTCTTTTTTAGAACAAGTAATCCATCTTTTTATTGGATCTGTGACCTGTCCTTTGGACCAGTAACCCATCTTTCTTTGGACCTTTGACCTGTCTTTTTTGGGACCTACAACACATATTTTTTTTGGTCTTGTGACCTATCTATCTTTGGACCTGTGAACAATCATACTTTGGATCTGTGACCCATCTTTTTTGGGACATGTAACCCATCATTCTTTGGACTTGTGATTGGTCATTTTTTGGGACTGTAACCTATCTTTCATTGGACCTGTGACCCATCTTCTTTTGGACCTGTGACCCATCTTCTTTTGGACCTGTGACCTGTTTTTAGACTTGTAACCCATCTTTTTTTGGACTTGTGGCTAATCTTATTGTGGGATGTAACTGGTACCCTGTGTACATAACTTTGTTCCACCACATGTAGTACATGTGATACAAACGACAATAAAGAAACTCTGACTCTGACTGACTCTCATTTTTCTTTGGACCTTTGACCTGTCTTTTTTAGGACCTATAACCCATCATTTTTGTTCTTGTGATCTGTCTATCTTTGGACCTCTGAACAGTCATTCTTTGGATCTGTGAATAATATTTTTTGGGACCAGTAACCCATCATTCTTTTGAACTGTGATCTGTTCTTTGGACCTGTAACCCATCTTTTTTTGGACTTGTGTTCCATCTTTCTTTGGACATGCAATCTGTTCTTTGGACCTGTAACCCATCTTTTTTGGACTTGTAGCCCATCTTTCTTTGGACCTGTGACCTGTTCTTTGGACCTGTAACCCATCTTTTTTTGGACTTGTGTCTAATCTTATTGGTGGATGTAACTGGTACCCTCTGTACATAATTTCTTTCCACCACATGTACTACATGTAATACAAACAACACAAAAAAACTTTGACTCTGACTGACTCTCATTTTTCTTTGGTCCTGTGACCTGTCTTTTTTGGGACCTATAACCCATCTTTTTTTGGTCTTGTGACCTGTCTATCTTTGGACATGTGAACAATCATTCTTTGGATCTGTGACCCATCTTTCTTTGGAATTGTGACCTGTTATTTGGACCTGTAATCCATCTTTTTTTGGACTTGTGGCCCATCTATCTTTGGACCTGTGACCTGTTCTTTGGACCTGTAACCCATCATTCTTTGGATCCGTGACCCATCTTTCTTTGGACCTGTGTAGTGAACTAAGCCTCCGAGAACAACCTGTCTCTGAAGACCTTCAGGGGACAGGAACTGCTATTTCATTGATTTGAATCCAGAAATACAAATGATCTCATCAAGAGACTATTTAATTGTATCCTGAATTAATCAATTGAAAGAACACTCTTCCTTTTTACATTATCATTACTATTTTAGAATATCTTGATAATCAAATGTGTGTTTAGTTTATACCATTTCTAAATATTGAAGTGAACCACTCATTTAAATCAACTGTGAAACAGTATTAATGATTTTTAAACCTCAGCAGATTTTTGATCATACCGTTTAAATGCCGATTTACGAAGTAAGTGTGCATTTTAGTTTTCTGTCTGAATGAGCAGTAGTGATGTCGGTCGAAAGTCAGAGACAAACAGAGATGAGTTATTAGAACGAAGTGTCTT